TGATTATGAAATTTCTAAGAAGATGGGAGAATATTGATGTAATGTAATATCGTCATAGGGTTGGGATGATAAATAGTCGCATCTTTTTTATCCATTGCTATTCTCATTATAGTTCTAATTGGAATTTAGTGAAAAAATAGAATAAATTGAAATCATAGTTGTCACTAATAGCTAAAATTATAATATCTTAATAATTGTGCTTATATAGATATTAGAGGAGAATAACAAAGAAAACATAATAAATGAAAATATTCTTTATAATGAAGATATATTACAATAGTAATTATGATATATTCATTTTATAAATGTTAAATATATGCTCTATTTTTCATAAGGTAATAAATAATTAAAATAAGTCATATATAAATATGTGCTATGTCTAGCAAACTTATCAACTTCAAATTTTTTTCGGTATTTTTCTCTTATTTAGATTTTCAAAATTGGTGCCTCATATTATATATATCATAATTTTTTTATGATTTATTTTTTAATCCTTTATAATAATTATATTTGTTATGATATCCAAAGGACCACTTTCATAACTAGCATTGAAGTCTGAAAACAAAAGCTTTTGAATTACATAATTAGCCATTAGTACAGCCTTTTTTTAATTAATCTTATAACAAACATATTTATAGATCTAAAAGAATTTTTGACGATGGTCAAGTAGTATATAACACAACATGCATGGAACATTTTTTATGATGGAGAGAGAGAGAGATTTTCATGCCTTAGTTTTGGAAAAAGATGTAACACATATTCAAATCGAGAGAGAGGAGGGTAAGGATCATAGGAGACCTCAGATTTTTAATACAAAGGAAATGGAAAAAACATAGATCTGGGCAAGTTGAAATGATTGCACTAGTGTTTGTTTGGTTAAAACATAGATCTGGGCAAGTTAAATTTTTCTTAAGAGATTGTTGACTTATTTGTTTGGTTAAAAAGCCTTATCGAGTTATGGTGGTTGGAGTGATTGTAGTTGGGGGATAGAAATCAGAGAGACCGTTGTTGGGCAATGGAGGTTAATGGGGCAGTAGTTGGACCGCTAAGGTAGGTGTGGTCTTAGTCGGGTGACTAAAGTAGGTGGGGGCCTTAGTTGGGTGATAATGGATGAAGGGATTGTAGTCGGGTGACGGCGGCCAGAGGAACCATAGTCAGTGATAGTGGTTGGATAAACCATAGTTAGGCAACGGAGATAATGACCATAATCGAGCAATGCCGATCGAAGGGACCTTAGTTAGGTGACGGAGGTCGAAGGGACCATAGTAGTAGGGCAATGGATGTCGATGGGATCGTAGTCGATCAATGAATGTCGATGGGACCATGGGTGAAGGAGTTTGGTGGGACCATAGTCAAGCAAAGTTGGTTGAAGAGACATGATTCAAGCGACAAAGTTTACAAGATTGTAGTTAAGCGATGAAGGTTATATGGATCGTACTCAGACCATAATGGTTGGAGAGTCGGGTGGCGATCGACCGACAAAGTTTGAAGGAAATTGGCATGGTCGAGGTTTGGAGGTGACGACAGTCGAGCGGATGTCCGAAGGTGATTGGCGGCTAGGCAGAGGTCTAGCGGCAGTCAGTCGGAGGTCCATATGCGGTTGATGAGAGGTCCAATAGCAAAAGGCCAAGGAAGGTCCGGCGGTGAGTGTTGTTGGAAATAGAAATTACTAATGTAATGTACATTAGTTAAAGAAGGTTATCAATGAAAATTGATTTTTTTAGAATTAAACAATGGAATGTTCCTTTTTTGCATAATAAGTATTTTTATGCAGTTCATATTAAACTATTAGTTTGGAGTTTTAGATTCCAACGAAGAGGTCTTGAGTTCGGAGCTTGTATATATAATGTCTGTGTGAGTTTATCTTAATTGACATATATACATATATCGGAAATCAGGTTTTCTATATTAAGTTGGCTGCTATGAAATTATATTTTTTGTATTTCGCCGTGGACGTATTTATTACGCTTCGTTTGTGACAGTTTTTTATCACTATTTTTTGTTGCTTTCAAAAAAAAATGTACTAAAAAATATTTTTAAAAGCCATAAGAAAACTATCTTAAACAAAATCTTGTTTTATATATATAATAGTTTGGCCAAATAACAATGCGTGGTGATTATAAGGAATTTTCATGGCAATAATATTGGTATGAATAAAAGCTCTTGTTAGAAATAATTAATTAGGCTTTTATTGGGAACCTTATTAATACACAGAAGGTATTAAAACATATTTAAAAAAAAAAGAAATTCATTTTCAATTATTATGCACATGAAATTTAAACAATTATTACAAGCATATTGTCCTGCACTGAATTTTTAAGTATTTAAAATTGTTAAATAATATTAAAATATTTTTAAAAATAAATAATAAAATTATTTATATTTAATAATTGAGCTGGAAACTTACGTTGAATAATTTTTTTGATGTGGAGCACAGCGTCAATACGATTCCTATGCAAAATTGCAAGGACAAATATCGAATTAGTATGTTTTACGGGTACAATGAGACAAAAAATGATCCTGAGATCGAAAGGCATTGTCTGTACTATTCCTCAAAGTTTTTCCCTTTAGCGGAGTGGAAGTGATAATCTCTTAACCCTCAATTTTCTAATTTTCTCTCCAATCATACCCATCGTCTTCGTCTTTGATGACCCTTTCTTCACTGCAAAGAAAAATATGAAGAAATTTTCCCTTAATATCTAAGGTCTTCTTGTATATATACAGAGAGACAAAACCGTCACGACCATTGGCCAGCGTTTCTCTTCTACCATACCTTATTTTCTCTCTCAGTCACATTATGCTTTGTTCATGTCCTCCACGGATATGGAGGAGGATAAAGTTTGTCATTGGAAGCCCTAATTTCTTTTTCCAACATGATAATCATCAAAAGCGATAGGTATGTCGAGTACCTCATGAAATTCGTGGAGCAGAACACGTGGGCGCTGCTTGAGGGTTTGCTAACTTTGAAGCTGAATCCCATGGGACTCCACTATGTGCAGCTGCAGTTGGAAGCGTTGCAGTAGCTTGTAGGATTTTGTCTTCTTCTCTTCGGTCTTATTCGTTTAATTTCTTCCCCTCAATTAATTCTTTTCTTTGAGAAGAATCTTAAATCAGATGTCAGCGAAAGTTTACAAAAAAGGAGGTGTAAATTTTCGCTGACATTTGATTTAAGATTGTTCGCAAGGAAAAGAATTAATTTAGGGGAAGAAATTAAACAAATAAGACCGAAGAAGAAGAATAAGAAGAAATCCTACAAGCCATCGCAACGCTTCCAACCGTGACTGCACATAGTGGAGTCCCATGGGATTCATCTTCAAAGTCAGCAAACCCTCAAGCAGTGCCCCTGCGTTCTGCTCCACGAATTTCATGAGGTACTCGACATACCTATCGCTTTTGCCGACTGCCATGTTGGAAAAAGAAATTAGGGCTTCCAATGGCAAACGTTATCCTCAGTGGCGTATCT